CACGCGCATTCCAGAAAGTCCAACTGCGAATAGCATGACTTGCTGTACTGAGATCTCTGTAAATGCACAACTGTTTGGTAAATGAGTGCACAAGTCAAAGAACAAGTAGACTATGGAAAGCTGAGGCGAAAACCATACATGCACTTGCAATTTCCCCACCAAATGTGGCTGTAATTCCGGTCGGATACATTCCAGAAATTCCAAGTGTGAACAGGATGGCTCCCTGTGTTGTGGTCTTTGTAAACGCACACAAGGAGATCATCTGTGTGAACGCGCTCGATGATGACATCTCCTACATTCTATTCTGTGAATGTGGCTGTAATTCCGGTCGGATACATTCTATTCATAACATTTCTGCGGCTAACAAGAGCCTCATTCTGCTCTTAACGCATTCCTAATGACAGCCTCCATTTCGAGGTCTGTGGGTCATGCTGCTGCCTCTTTTTTTTTTTTTTTTTTTTTTTTGGGTCATGCTGCTTTTGTTTTTGCTTTGCTAAGAAACTGTCGGCCAGGATTAACTTGCGCACATAATTCAAGACTTCTACAGACACACACACACACACACACACACACACACACACACACACACACACAGTTGTACAGAATAGCTAGCATATACATCAAGGCTTCTATATGGTTTCCGAATACACACACACACAAAGGGCCTCTCGGCAGCACTCACCAAATGTTAAAAATGAGACTTTTATCCACACGAATCTGAGAAGATACATTGGACATAATGTCCTGTTTTTCACATTTCGTCAGTGGTGCAGCGAGAGCCAAATGCACGTGCACACACACACACGCACACACACACACACACACACACACACACACACACACACACAGAGTCATACAGAACTGGTCGGTGGACCTTTGCCAGGAAGGGAGAAGAGGACAGCAAATGAGGGGCTGTGACAAACTGATTCTTTGCAGAGTCGCCTACGCATCAGGAGGCTGTATCCTCTACAGTCTGCATAGTCCTGCAACCGATGACATGGTTAAGGGATAATCCATCTTAAACCATCAGTTCACGTGAACCGAAGTAGTGCGCTTACCGGTATCTGTGGTGAGAGCTTTTCGATTCGGGCCTGGGCCAGTAGCGAAAGCGGCAGACCAAGGCGCAGTTGCAGGCTCTCGCAAGCCCTTGGAAGGCATAGCTTCGTCAACTTAGCCTCGTGTGAACTGATGGTTTAAACTCGCTTGCAGTTCAGAATCGATGGCGGTTTAAACCCGCTTGCAGTTCAGCATCGACAACCTCCAGGTTTAAACCCGCTTGCACTACTTCAGCATCGACGGCGGTTTAAACCCACTTGCAGTTCAGCATCGACGACCTCCAACCACAATCCATGAAACTAAGTCAAACTTAGGCAGAGGCGAAACGCTATTCAAAATTAGGGAGAGGCGAAACGCTACGCAAACTTAGGGAGAGGCGAAATGCTACGCCAAGTCCAAGTCCAATCTAGTCAACTAACCACAGTTCAGAATCGACAACTACCCCAACAGCTGACTATGCTGAGTCCAATCTAGGCAAATAACCACGGTTACCCCAACAGCTGACTACGCCAAGTCCAATCTAGGCAAATAACCACGGCTAAGCATCGAAGACTGCCCAACAACCGATACCCTGAGGGAGGTGGGCACCAACCACTGCCCTCAAGGGTACCTGTGACAAAAACATCAAAGCAGACTAACTATCACTCACACACAGCAGACGGATGACTCTACATCCTGCAGGTTCAAACCCCGCAATCATAAATAAGCCAGCAAACTCTCACGAAACCAAGAAAGGCCTGTTCCAGTCTCGGAAAATACACTGCAGACACGTGCTTGCACTAGAGGGCAACATGGCCACGTAGCGACGACCCCTACCACTACCGTTCAAGCAGACCAAAGAAGAAAACGTTAGCAGGGAGCTCCCAAGGTCGTAGCGCAAATCCCCACCGTTGAGAACTGCCCGGCGAAGTCGTACAAAACGACAAAAAAAAAAAAAAGTCGGGAGTTTCATCGCCGTCAACTAAACGAGCACACTGCGCGAAACAAACGACCCAAAAAAGAAAAAAAAANNAAAAAAAAAAAAAAAAAAAAAAAAAAAAAAAAAAAAAAAAAAAAAAAAAAAAAAAAACACACCGAAGAGCACACTGAAACCATTCATTCTCTGGATCATGTGTTGTTTGAACTCCCCTCGTTGAGGGGTAGCTTGCGCTCGACTTTACCAATGGAGGCTTGCCCCGTTCATGAAGTCGAGCGCAAGCTGCCCACGCAAACCCGCGTGCCACTATATATATCATCACAGAGAACTGCCCCATTAACAATCATTATGTGTGTATCTACCCCCATTCCGCATGCATATACATTACGTGTATGCACGAGGCATTGTGATGTGAATACATCAAGATTTTGACATGATTGACTTCTCCTTAATAATATAATGCATTGTCCTCACGTTATGTATTATTATATATTGTCAAACAGAGCTGCCTGCGAGGACTGAGCCCTCATGGGGCCCTAACAGACATGCATGTGTTCTCGGCTGTGGGCCCCAGTGAGGACTGAGCCCTCACGGGGCCCTAACAGACATGCATGTGTTCTCGGCTGTGGGCCCCAGCAAGCCTTGTGCCCGCCCTAAGTGAAGGCGGGCCTGAATATCCACAAGAGGCCTGTTTTTGACATTTCTCCATATGTGGGTATACAGACACTTGCAGCACGCCAGTTGGTTGCGGGGAAACGTGAGCCTCCAGGCTCTTTCCAGAAAACAAGGACTGCACTGTGCTGTTGAGCCCAGGGCCGGGTGGTTGCGCCCTGGGCACACGCAGCGTGAGGCCAACACATCACGCACGAATGAGAAAGCAGCATTATCGTCACACCGACGCATCACGCACAAATGAGAAAGCAGCATTAACGTCACACAATCTCCGCGAGCCAATGAGATTGTGGCCAACCCTGGGAGCCTGCGAGAGGCTATCTATACGTGCCCAACCGAAAAGGGCGTAGGCCCTTAACTGTAGAAGACTGGGGCCCGACTGGAAGCTACTGGAAACTTCCCCAGCCAGGCCCAGGCAGACACACACAGGGGCGGCACTTTCCATAAAGGAAAGACCAGCCCAGGCAGGGCATTCCGGCCTAGGCAGGCAATGCGGACACACTGCTACGTTGATACGCAAGTGTCTGCATGGGCGCTGCTGGTCGGACGCGCGCACGGGCGCTGAGGTGAGGGGCGCTGCAAGAGCAGCGGGCGCACTGCAGCCATAGCCGGGCTGCAGGGGCGCAAGGCAGGTGATGGCGAAGACGGTCTTCGGGTAGGAGGCGCACGACTGGGTGGTCAAGGTCTGATGAGGGGAGAAGAGAAAACGCATCTGGTGTATGCTGGCGGTCGGCATCGGTGTTGACGTCACGTACATTGGTCTTTGAGTTATATGTGATCCAGTCGCTTGAACGTAGATAGGCTAGATAGGCTGAGTAGAGTAGGCTGGGCGCTGAGCGCAGACAGTGGGAGCGACATTGGATACAGTGTTGGTGTGACCAGAAGTGTCGGCATATTGACATTTGAGTTCATTGTATTTTTACTCTTACTTGGACGGAATCTTGGTGCATTGTGCTCTCTGCTTGGTACACGACTATCTGGCCGACTTCGTCATTTTGCAACTTGGGTTTTCTGTCTATCGCTCTCGCTCATAATCCTTTGCATGCCCGCTAAACCGTAGGCAGAGAGGGACAAGAGGGAGAAGAGGACAACAAACGGGGGGGGCTGCGACAAAACTGTTTCGTCGGAGTTTCACCGACTGACTTATCAGGGGGAGGCTGAACCCTCAACAGTCTGCAGAATCCCCTAACCTGATGATTACACTGAAAGTGATAATCCACCTTAATTAACCCTGGCTGATGATTACCCTCAGGGTGAAATTTAACCCCCTCAGGGTGGAATTTAACCCCCTCAGGGTGGAATTTAAGCCCTACAACCTTCACCCGAACACAACGCCCGTCCATTATAGCTGTATTTGGACTGAAAGGGCCCTACAGCCTTCACCCGAACACAATGCCCGGCCATTATAGCTGTATTTGGACTGAAAGGTGCACGAAATACAGCTTTAATGACCGGGATTTTTTCATTCATGTGAAGACGGTAGCACGGATGCAAAGGGGGGCATGGTCAACCCTACCAGGACCCACCAAGGGAGAAGGGCCGGGGGGGGCCCGAGCCGACTATCTCAGGAGGTGACCCCGAAGTATGCAGCAGGAGGTAGTGGGGAACCGAATCGGTGCCATGGGGAATCGAACCCACGACCCTCCCGGATACGACTTATGTGCTCAACCAACTGAGCTGTAGGCAGAAAGGGACAAAAAGACAAGAATAGGGCTGGAGCATTCACAACGTCGGTTGTCATCCTACTCGATTTTTTGGCGTCACAAAAAAAAAATCATTGCCGTCATCGTCCTCACTACCCTCCTCAAAGTACTCCACACTACCCTTCTCGAAGTACTTATCACTACCCTTCTCGAAGTACTCAGCACTACCCTCCTCGAAGTACTCAGCACTACCCTCCTCGAAGTACTCAGCACTACCCACATCAACCCACGCCAAACCCACGCCGACTAGTAACCCAAACCCACGCTCACTAGTAACCCAAACCCATGCCAAACCCAAACCCACCCCCACGCCCACTAGTAACCCAAACCCACGCTCAAGCCTTGAACCCTCGACCTACTCAGCGCTACCCACATCATCCGCAGCATCATGCCAAAAGAGCTATTCTTTTTTTTTTTTTTTTTTTTCCAAAAAGAGCTATTCAGTATTTTACTACAAACGAATCCACTGAATCGACAGGGTGACCATACATTTAACCCACCACCATCGCCATCATCATCATGATCACCATCGCCATCACCGTCCTAGTCGCCATCGCCATCACCCTACGCAGCATTAGCATCATCATCAGACTCGAACACTAGACCTACTCAGCAGAACCCAAATCAGCAGCAGCAGCATCACCATCACCCACCACCCTCCCCATCGCAATCACCATAATCACGATCGCCATCGTCACCATAACCATCATCACCATCACCCACCACCTTCACCATCACCATCATTGCCATTACCCAATGCCCTTACCACCGCCATCACCATCATCACCATCACCCACCACCCTCACCATCACCATCATTGCCATTACCCAATGCCCTTACCATCGCCATCACCATCACCATCATCACCATCATCACAATCATCACCATCACCCACCACCCTCGTCATCACCATCGTTGCTATCACCCAATGCCCTTACCATCGCCATCATCATCACCATCACCCGCCACCCTCATCATCACCATCATTGCTATCACCCAATGCCCTTACCATCGCCATCACCATCATCACCCTCGCCATCACCATCATCTCCCACCATCACCATCACCATCATCACCCACCACTCTCACCGCCCGCACCCAATCCCATCACCATCATCACCATCATCACCATCATCACCATCATCACCATCGCCATCACCACCATCACCGACCACCCTCACCATCGCCATCATCATCATCACCATCGCCCACAACCCTCAGCATCGCCATCACCATCATTGTCATCACCCACCGCCCTTACCATCGCCATCGCCATAACCATCATCATCATCATCGCCCACCTCCATCATCACCCCCCAGCACCCACCACCCTCACCGTCCCCATCGCCATCACCACCATCACCCTCACCCTCACCATCGCCATTACCACCTTCACCCTCACCATCGCCATCGCCATTACCACCATGACCGTCACAACCAACCCAAGTTTGATGCTCAGAGAAGCTCAATCACCATCACCCAACCCATCTTCCCCCGAAATAACGTACGGTCATTATAGCTGTATTTGGGGCAACATTCAGGCCAGATACAGCGATAACCACCATTACGTTGTATTCGGGGGAAGACGGGTGGCCTGCGCGGCCTGGGGTCGATACTGGTGATTAAGTGCACCTCGCCGCACCACCACTCATGGAAAAAAAGACAAAATGTTGGCGGGTGTATCTTTCCACGTTCTAGCAGTAGATACGTTCTCCTTTCGTATATTTGGTGAGTTGTGCTGTGAGGCCGAAAAGCGCCCCTTTCCATTGGTACCATATGGTTTTAAACGAAAAAATATAACATGGCTCAATGACGTTTATTCAAAAATAAATACGGTATCGCACCTGCTGGTGGGTGCAGCTCCCGCATGTTCCCTCGTTGGAGGCTTGAGCACGGATGTGGCTGCTACAGGGTTCCCCGTAATACTATAATGACAATAAAAAAGGCGTGAAAGGCCGTCCTGTCCAGATTTGACAGGTAATTGAATTGGTTGGGCTTAAAGAATTAGCCTTTAAAAAAAAAAAACAAAAAAAAAACAGTAATAATAATAATAATAATAATAATAATCATGGCCCTCCACCGAGCATGGGTGGAGGCAGAGTTTTCAGGACAGCGGTCTAGAATTGGCCTTTCTGTTCCTACAGTTTACTCGGCCTTGGCGAGCGCTTGCTCGTAAGCTAAACTGGCTGATTCTGCCAGGATAACTCCGGGTTGAATTGTGAGGTTTCCCCGGCCTCGATTTGACCTGTATAATTAAAGTTTGGATTAAAAAAAAGGAAAAGAAAAAAAAAACGTCACTCGTCGCTGGACAACGGCGGTAGCCAGTTGAATGGTATAACGGGAGGGCAAGGCCGTCGGCCCTCCATTTTCAGTTGCTTGGTCGGAAAGTCTGGTGGTGGTCCCGCAATGAAGGCGGATCTGGGGAGAAGCCCCCTGAGGAGTGAGTGCCAGGAGCGCAGCCTGATTAGCCGAAACGCGTCGGGGAAATTGCGCGTTTTTTCTGAGAACTGTACATGCGGAGAAGAAATGTAAATCTGTTGATGCGTGTACGAGAAGCAGTCTATGGCCACTTTTTCACTATTCCAAAAAAAACTAAGTAATAATAATAATAATAAAAATAATCCTAGGACTCTATCAACTGTCCGTCGTTTGGTTCTTGGAACATATACTCCTTCGGGCATTTCACTTCCACGTTCCTCGTCAGAATTTCGGCATTTTTTTTGTTTTTCCTTAATGCGGAGCTTTTCATCCGCTAATTACAAATTTCTAGACATTTATCTCTCTTTGAGATGTACGTTTTCGGCATTTTTTTAATAAAAATCGTAAGAGGGCTTAACTGCCTTTTCCCGCCAGAAGGACATGACACGATTTTGGTTCAGAAAACGCCGACATTGCGACCAGGAACATCAAAGTGAAAAACGCCCAAAGCGGTAAAATAATGATACCG